GCCACGGTACTCACTCTAGCCTGGGCAACACAGTGAGACTCTGTCTCAAAAAAAAAAAAAAAAAGAAATCATTGCCAAATCCAGTGAGGCTTTTCCTCTGTATTTTCTTTTAAGAACTTTATTGTTTTAGCTCTAATGTTTAGGTCTTTGATCCATTTTGAGTTAATTTTAGTATGTAATATACAGGGGTGGGGAATCTACAGCCTTGGGGCCACATATGGACTTCTGGATCCTTGAATATGGCGTTTTGAATGGATCCAAATTTTACAGAACAAATCCTTCTAATAATATACTATTAATATAAGATAAGGGTCCGACTGCATTCTTTGGCATGTGAGTATTCAGTTTTCCTACCACTGTTTGTCAAAAGGCTGTCCTTTGCCCCATTGAATGGTCTTAGCCCCCTTGTAGAAGATCATTTGAGTATATATGTGAGGGTTTATTCTGTTCTGTTGGTGTGCATATCTCTTTATGTCAGCACTGTACTGTTTTGATTACTGTAGATTTATAAATTTTAAGATTAGGAAGTATGAGACCTCTAACCCTGTTCTCCACATCCCTCTTTTGTATTCATGATATATTAGCAATAGCCATTTAATCAGAGTTAGCTAGTTAAATCTTACTCTGCCTGGAGAAATGTGCTGTTATCAGAAGATACTTGTTGAGCACCTACTATATTCTAGGTACTAGTCCAGGTGCTGGGAATACAGAAAATAAAAAGCTTCTAGCTTCGTCTTCAAGGAATTATATTTTTGGTGGTGTTAAGAATGGGGAAGGTAGACATTAAACACAAAAGCAAACAATAATTTCAGTTAAGTGCTATGGGAAAGAGTAACTGGAGGACAAGGGAGTTGCTTAAGGTAGGATGGTTAGGAAAGGTCTTTCTGAGAAGCTGGCATTTAATTGAGACTCCGTGATGAGAAAGGCAACCATGCAAAGATTGGGAGGAATGGTGTTTTAAGGAGTAGAAACAGCAAATGGAAAGGCCCCAGTTTTATGATTCATTTTACTGAGATATGTATCTGTTAAGCCAGATTAGATTACGTTCTAAGATAAATCTCTTAATTCTTCAGATTGAAATTGCCTTTGAAGTGTGATTAGAAATCATTTGTCACAACTCTTAGGCCACAGGATTAGAGCTTTCTGTGACGTTGATGATGGACTCACAAGCCCAGTTGTTGCTCACTTGTGTAGGTAGTGGATGTGGAACTCCATCGCCATTCTCTTGGGGAAGACTACATTTATCCTCAGCCCTCTGAGTCAGATGATGCCCCTCCATCTTTGCCTTTGACCATTCCAGCCCCAGTGAACGCTTCTTCACCAATAAAGCAGTCACATGAGCCAGTACCTGATGCCTCTGTGGACAAAGGTAAGACAGTATTTTTCCTCGTGTAGAGTCATTCTGGGGCATTCCTTTCTCTCGTTTGCTGCCTTCAGAGACCTATAAATAAATTTTCCGTAAGTAGACATGCTGCCTTTACAACATAGTTGTATTATGAATATAGCCAAATCTCTGCACTTAGAAAAATTTTTTGCCATAAAGTTCTACCAACATTTTATAAAATGCAAAAGTCACTAAAAAGCATTAGATTTTTATCCTTTGATGATTATGAGAATTTCTTCTAGTATATTTCAAGAAGACTTTCTGGTTCAGCCTCTGTGTGAAAAAGAAACTTGAATACTAAATAGCTAATTTAATAAGTATGTAAGTGAATAAATACATATTTAAGTGTTCACATATAAGTGTATAAGATATAAAATTGATCTTAAATGGTGTTTTATCTGAAAGACTATTTTAATGTGATATTAATGTTTTAGTTCTTTTATAAAATCTCAACTTTATTCCTCTTTACATTTCGATTGCATCTTCTTTATGGGCATTTAGTAAATGCTTTCCTTTTGAGTTTTTCCTCTTCTCTAACTTAAACAGTTTTTCAATTTATATATTAAAGAATGCAGGGACATATTATATATAGTTAATGTGTTTTCTGATTTCTTGCAAGAAGCATTTTTAAATAAATTTCATTCTAAGCATATTTGCTTTTTACCAAAAAAAAGTATAAAGAGGTAATTGATTATATTTATTTTACTACCAGTAAGTGGTTTAAGTGGGTGTTGAAATTTTTATTCTTTTCCCACGATGGTAAGGTTTTGTTATTTCAAAGTGATTGATAACTTACCATTTGCCTGTTTATTTCAAGCAGGATTTCCAGCTAGCACTGAAGCTGAGCGACACACTACATTTTATTCTTTGCCGTCTTCATTGGAAAGAACACCCACCAAAATGACAACATCCCAGAAAGTTACCTTTTGTTCTCATGGTAATTCGGCTTTCCAGCCAATAGCGTCAAGCTGCAAAATTGTGCCACAAAGTCAGGTTCCTAACCCTGAATCACCTGGAAAATCCTTCCAGCCCATCACCATGAGCTGCAAGATTGTGTCAGGTATGCAGAAGATGTGTTGAAGATGATGTGTGTAGAGTGGAGTGAATGTTAGGATTGTTGGAATGACCAAACAAAGTACTGGGGCTTGTTTTCTCCCTTACGTTCTTCCAAGCAGTGTTTGTTTTAACAGAAGAGAGTTAATCACTTTTGATTGGCAGAGCTGTCACAAAGCAAACACAAAACTCATTCGTGTGAAACTAATTTTTGAATGAGGGAAAGAGAACTCAAAATTGTCAAATTTTTGTCTCCTGTAATCAGCACAGCTAAAATGTTTGCTAGGATATATGGCTGACAGTAAGGTAGGAATTGAGTTTGGGGATTATATATGGAGACCAGAGTGACTAGTAATAGAAGAAATTTAGAGGCCTTTTGGCTTGGAATTAAGCTTTAAGAATTAGAATTGGTTCAGAATTGAAGTATCCTCTATTCTCTAACCACACTAGAAAATTACTCATTCCTATTATCAGGAGATAGTTCTGAGTCTTCCTTTTCATTAAGGTTGGATTGTTCTTTGCCTTGTGACAGTTTCACATTTATGATAAGTAAACATGTAGTAGGAATACACTTTTTTATGGCTTTGTATCACCTCAGAAAAGAAATGAAAGAGGGCAGTTGAAAATATCCAGACACTGGAAGGGCTTCTGTGCAATTATTAAATGAAGGAGGAAAAAAGGAGTGTTTAGTGCTAAAAGTAGGCAACTAAGCAGAAATATCCAAATCCTGGAAATGATGAGAGGTAAAGAATGTATAACTTTACCTACCAGCTAGAAACATATTGGAACTTGCTGCTTCAGAGGTGAAATAGACGGAACATATCAGTTGGTTTGACATTTAGAGAAATTCACAGATGACAAATTGGATCAAAGAAAGACAGTTGAGGGTGTTTAACTGAATGTCAGTAGTCCTTGAACGTATTCTGTGGGAAATGAATCTTTCTGAATTGTAACTGTGACATAATACTGACAGAGACTTTTGTCTTGGGTAGGTGAATTTTACATTTTCCTATTTGAAATTAATTGGAAATCAAGACACTAAGTTCCTAGATCTAGCTGTTCACTTACTAATTTTCTCCCTAATTTTAGTGTCTTTGAGTATAACCAGTGTTGTAACAACCTGTGATGTTAAGAGATTAATCATGACAAAATTCAGCAGTTCCACACTGTCATGTAAAGCTCTGCTTTTTTAACTTGAATGTGCATACCAGGGGATCTTGTTCAAAGCAGATTTATATTCAGTAGGTCTGGAGTGGGACCTTAAATTCTAACAATTGCTAACAGTTTCTAACGAAAGATTTCTTCAGTGATGCTAATGCTGGGATCCATAAGGATAAGGATGCAGAGAATGAAACATACTACTCCCAGGCCTCAGCTGCTCCTCTGCTGCTGCTTAACCTCTAAAGCATATGGTCCCATTAACTTTTCCTCATTTATCTCCTTTGTCCTGGTGGCGCTGCCCCTCTTCCTTGGTCCTTAACATCTTGTTAGATGAGTTGAATATATGTGTTTTGTTTCTCATCTCTCTTTTTAATTAATAAAGGTTCCCCAATATCAACTCCAAGCCCATCACCATTGCCTCGAACCCCAACTTCCACTCCAGTCCATGTGAAGCAAGGCTCTGCCTGCTCTGTTATTAATAATCCTTATGTTATCATGGACAAGCCTGGGCAGGTTATTGGAACTACCACTCCCAGTACAGGTATGTTTTTGATCAGTATTTGCCAATCCAAAATATTTGATCTTTATTAAAAATGTAAACTTGGCATGACTTTGCCTTGTGACAGTTTCACATTTATGTTAAGCAAACTTTTAGTGGAATACACTTTCTGGCTTTGACTGTACCACCACCATATGATGGTGTAATGGGAGAATGAAATCTCCATCCATAAACAAGAAGTGGTAATATATAAAAGTAACCCCAATGCTGTTTCTCTGAGGGAAGATTTACTCTTTGTAAAAGTTATATTTTTTT